AAAAATTTTAATAATAAATTTAAATATTATATTTATAAAATTTTTAATATAATATTATAATATATAAAATAAAAATAATATTAATTATATAATATTTATAATACGTATTTAATTTTTTTTCTTTTAATGTTTACCTTAATAACTTTATAAATATCACTTTAAATCTTATATAATTTACGTTAAAATTTAAGTAAGAAAATGCCAAAAATTACGGTCTAAGGTGCACGTGATTCGGCCCCGAATTCGCTGAGATATTAAAGAAATAAGCATTTATATATATAAAGTAACCTTTTTATTAACGCTTAACTTTAATTAACTAGCGCTTAACTTTAACCAATTAACGCTTAGCTCTAACCTATTAACGCTTAACTTTAACCCATTAGCGCTTAGCTTTAACCAATTAACGCTTAGCTTTGACCAATTAACGCGAGGTTAATATATAAGGTTAACGAAATTAAGTTAAACTTTATTTAAGCTTTACTTATAACACATATTAAAATCTTTTAACATAAATCTTTAAATAAATTTAAGGCATTAAAAAAACTTTATTAAAATGTTTATAAAAGATGTCACGTGCTTCTTTTTTTAAATAAAATAAACGTTATTTAATTTTATTATAATATAATAATAAAAAAGTCGATTTAAATGTAACTTATATTATTATTTTTACATTAATTAAAATTATTAAATAATATTAATTATAATGTTATAATTATTAAAAATGTAAAATTATTTAAAAATTAAATTAAATTAAAGGTTTAAAATAAACATATTTTTTTAAAATATATTATATATAACGTTATAACGTATGTATTTATAAGAAATAATTCATTTTTCTTATATAAAAGTGTAAAGTACCGCAATAAATCGAGTTAATTGCGTTAACCTATGGTTGACTACCCTTTTAAGCTAAGCTCACAGATCTTTTTTCATTTTAGCACAGTGGTACGTCTGGTCAACCGTACATGTTTAACATTCCCAACCAATCAGCCCAAACAGACTTCTAGAAGAGGAAATAGCGCGGGGTCCAGGCGTATCTTTGCGCCCCGAGGTAAACTTCAGTGGGGAGTGACGTCTTGGATGACCTTGCTTTCTTATTTTTTATATATTTTATATGTCACTTAACCATTTTATAAATGATGCCATCGTGCATTGAGGCTCTTCACTGAGTACATCCTACATGATCTTAGCTCACGCAATGAAAAAGAGACATGAAGTTACATATATGTACTTGAGAGAGGTAAGTGCCTCTGTTAAAAGTTCTGCTGACACTTGGTACGTGCCCTACGAAGAAGTCCCCTTCATCTTTGAACTGATTAGAATGCTTATATTTCACAATATAACAAAGGTTACTCTGTAGCTAGTTGATACCTGGAGTGATAAAGTAATTATTTACGAGTTCGCTTCGAAACTTATTTCTCATCATGTTCTTTCTTACATAATAAGCTGTCAGCCACATCGCGCTTTGCATGCATCACCTCAGAATATGGGCATACAATAGTAATAATAATACCAAGCTAAAAAGTTAAAAGGCTGCATAACGGATACCATTATCTTTGAACGAATAGCACCCCGTTCCGGAAATTAAGCTCATTGTTTATTCTTTGTTGTAATATGTTGTTACCACAAACGGCCATTCATTCTGTTGCACTTTATTATAACCATCTGTAGGCTTGAAGTGCTCTACTCAGCTACCCCTAATGAACCAAGTACATGTATTATCTGTTTTTAACACACGAATATAATCGATTTTAGTTTAATCAATTATTGATATTGATATTGATACTGTTATACTGTTATACTGCTAATATTTGAAGTCATCACCATGGCCGATCCGGACGATGGACAACCAAAAAACTATTATGAGAGAATTCAATTGCAGAACTATAAGTTTCGTATGTATCGAAAGCGCGGCTGGTCAATGAATTGGGATAAACAATACGTAAAGGATAACCGGCAATATTGGTCAAATTATCACTTGCCTAGGCCCGGCCCACCACCCATCTTCAATGATAGGCCCGAAGATTGGCAACAGAGACGATATCACAACCCTTCGGCAGTATCATCAGGGGGTCCAGATATAGAGGATCCACAACACGGTAGTGATCCGACCGCTAATAAAGCGAGAGATGTATTGCAAAATGTCAAAAATTACTTTCGTTCCCCTATATTCCGTTACCAGAAGGTCTTAGGTTTCGGAGGTTGTGAGTAACCCTTCCGAGGATGAAGATGCAGATCTGGTTCATATTAGCGCTAGTTATATTCAGTTGAGCGTTTTCTAACCCAAATAATGATGGTAGTGGGACTGGCACTTCACTTTAGGTATGATGGTGAAGGAGTCCCTAAAGACGTCGCTATGAAGCTCTCTCTCGCATCATGGGAATCAGATGAGTTACGGAAGGAAGGAAGAGCTATGGAAGTAAGATAAAAGTAATGCGAAATCATAGGCACGAATCACTTACAATATATATAGTCGATGTTGGGAGCAGCACATGCCGTTCAGCTGGTGCACCCAGAGTCGGTCGGTAAAGAACCAATGGATCCATATTATCCGAAACCATCAGAGGACGACTCTTCCGACGATGAAAACTCTAGCGGTGATGAAAGTATTGATCAACCGTACCGTCCTCCAAGAATTCCCCGTCGTCAAAGGTCCGCAGAGGAATTGCAAACGCGGGCGCAAAGCTTCCATAATCGCTATAGGACGTGGTATTTCCGTAACGCTGCATTAGAGTCTAGGAAAGATTACCTACTCCTCGAGTATATTGAGGGAGGTGACCTCCGGATGCTGATCAATAGACTATCGGATGCAACCACAGGACCTGGAGGACCCGGAGGGGTCACACCAATCCCTAATAGAATACTTGTATGCACTATTGAGACCCCCCCTCTCTCTCTCTCTCTCTTTCTTTGATTTTTATCCTTTTTAAGGCTTGTCTCCTGAGGCTATTAGAAGGAATTGCTAACTCTCGTTGTTATAGTGGGCATTATGGCTTTGCTGTAAGTTGAGATGCTCTATAGACCATGCTTTCAATTTCTAATAAGTATAGTGATACGGGCTTGTGTAGGGATGAAATATCCTCCCCGTAAATTCCACCCCGAGCGGTTTGTCAGGGAAGACCTCATTGAGGATGCCCCTAACGCTCGCAAAAGGTGGAGAGCCAAGAACTGGGTTCACTTTGATATCGACCCGAGCAATAGTAGGTTGTCCTTCTTCAGAGTTTCTAAGAGATTATCAGGCAGCTTATGATTATCTAGTTTTTGTTGGGAATATTGAGCGCCCGGAATGGGACGAGCCGGCATCCACGAATCCACCTTACACAAGACCTATAACTCCTGGTGAGGGCCCATCTTCTAGGGAAGACTACAATCCACAACATCCACCTACAGCAACCATGAGTTATTTTTCAGGAGCGCTTCGACAGCTGAACGTAATAGTGACTCGCGGCGAATCGTCTTCGGCACAGAAAGGTAAAGCGCCTGAAAGTGAATCTGGCAAACGAAAGTACGATATATATCATATGGATAGGGCGGTGGGTGAGCATTTATTCGTCCCAAGACTAAAGGTGAGTAAATAATGTCTAGGGATGGTTGCATGATTGCTAACCGCCAACTGATAGCTCGCAGACTTTGGGTTAGCAGAGCAAATTAAAAGTCACAAGCGAAAGTCCGTGACACCTATTGATTTCGTTGGTAATGCTGCTGACAGAGACATAGCGAATATTATGCGAGGAGGCGACAGTGTGGCAAGGGTGGATATCTCGCGCCCGTAAGTTATCCTCTCCTGGTCTCATGATTTCTAGAGCCCGTATGCTAAGTCGAATACTACCTACCTACAGGAACAATTCGCGTCGGATTGGGATTTGGTCCCCGGCGTCCCAGATGGGCCGGAGGTGGGCGAAAATCCAGTGGCAGGGAGCTATAACTCGGCAACGAACGTATGGGGTATCGCATTGGTAAGTATCTACCTCGTCTTATATAAATGGGTTGCTTTTTCATCTAATTCATTGCAAGACGATGTGGATTATCATAACCCAAAGAAAACCACCGTTACCACCTCAACCTCAAATACCACCCGGGGTGTGGATACCAGGTGGGAGGTTCCTCCAACCGGATATCGACGACATACTAAGGAACATTGGACCAAACATACCAGTATCCTACTGTCCATTGTTAATGGATGGACCATTCAATCATGTCGATGAAGACCTCAGAAGAGCAATATACCAGTGCATGTACCACTACCCGGATCAACGCCCGACAGTTGAGGAGTTGTTAATTCAAGCACGGGTAGGGATTCAGAAAGTTTTCCCTTACGAGACCGACGAAGTCATCAATAACTGGGTTGATAGATTCGTACTGAGCGCACCGACCAGCTAAAGGTAGACTTGGTAGAGGGATTGCATGATAGACATGGAATGGATATAGAGCTGAGAAGTGATTGTACGATATTTTTATATGTTATTATGGAAGGATTGAATGCCGTTTAAATGTATTCTTATATGATAGAAGGATCGTCGATCGTGCTAAGAGAATGTATTTATGAACACCTACCTGTTAGTAGCCCTGTGTCGATCGCTGACGCCGATCTAAACGGCGGATAAGCCTCGACTGAATGCGGTTTTGGGGTTCTGCAACATGGGCAGTGTACTGGGAGCTGATTGAATTACGAATTGTCCGAGACAGGAAGAAACTGTCCGGTTTACCTTAGTTACCCAGGTAGGTAGTTAATATACGCGAGCTGGAAATGAGGTTGAATGTCTTGGATTGGTAATATCTCTTAACTAAGCTGATGACCGACACGCTGAAAAAGGCGACGAGCGTCGTAACATGATAAATTAAGGACCAAAAGACGCCTTGGGGATGACGAGGAGTGTAAGACATGAGAGCTTTTGACATACCTTAGGTACCCAGGTAACCTAGGACTTTGTACGGCTCACTTGTAGTTTGTATGAGAGGATTCAAGAATAACGTTAGTTATATCATTTCGAATGTGCCCCGGGAAAGTATTATGCAGCGGGAGTGATGTCACTGCTGAGTTTTATTCAGCAAGATCTTAAAGATAGAACAGCCCCCTTTTGAACCCCTTTGAACCCATGTTTCCAAAAGCGCGGGGGTTCCGAAAGGGTGGGATGTGTGGCTTGATCCTCTTTCATCCCATTGATACCTATCGACGTCAATCAATAGAAAAATAAGTCCTTAAGGTATAATACTCGTTGATAGTTGAGGAGCAGGAAACTAACCTTGGAAGTTTTAAAATAAGTCATTATCAGCTAAGCGCTTGCTATTTCGCGTCTGTCAACGACTTAATGAGACTGTTTAACAACTTAATGAGAACATTTCAACCTCTTCTTCTCCGCCCTCCACCGAGCGCGACTCGGGTGTGCTTTTATATGATAATATGGTGTTACGAAGATGCTAAATCAGTCTAGCCACTTTGATGACCGCCCGGTGTTTGTTGATCTTGATAGATTCATTGGTCCCGCTATTAAGTATCTACGGGAGTTCGGTCTGTTGAGCTTAGGTGATTCTTAACATGGCGCTGGTATAATCAGCACTAGTAAAAGTTGACGGCTACAACATATCTACCTATCTTTATTAGCTGATGATTCAAGGCACTCATCTAGCAGCGGGAACGATCTACAATGTGCCGATCGTAGCAAGGAATACGATCCTAGGAGGATCATGCAGATGCCATCTACATATGCGATCCGACCGGGAATACTACTTGGATACCTTCCAACAGTATTCTAAGTTTCTATTCTCCGTGTGATCGCCGTGCTGAAAGCATTAGGTAGAAATGCGACTCGCAGCCTGGCTTTCAAAAGTCTGTATGGAGTTCTATTATTTAAAGTTCCTTAAAAGCCCAGACTTCTTGTGGAATTATAACACCATAGCGACCTCAGACGAACCTGATTCCTGATTTAATCAACTTACATTCTCTACTCATAGACCATCAGTTATAACGATTAAAACATGAAGACCTCTACTTCCTTATTCTCCGTCATCGTAGGCATCTGCTTGGCAGGTGTCCAGGCTGAACTTCCTTACAACATGCCAGAGTGGCGTACGCAACCCCAAGTCGTTCAGTAGAGTTAACGGGCAAAAGCTAATAGATAATAAACAGGGAGGGGAGCCAGTCCTCCTATCGTCCCGTCGGAGCACCCAACATGGCAATACCCTTACCACCAACTTACTGGTGAACCGCATCACCCTCATCCGACTAGCGTTCGCCTACCTGGCCATCATAAGCCGCATCCCACTGGCTATCCTCAACCCACCGGAACTGCCAGTCCTCACCAGCCTTGCAACAGCGCTGCTGACTGTGCATACCTTTCTTGCACGCAGCAGATGCCCCGAAGTGAGCCCACATGCGTCCGGAGCCGGGTCGGAAGGTAAGACTCTCGACTATCAATTCCCTTTAGTAGCCGTTACATATTGCTAATCCTCCATAATTAGGTTCTGTGCATGCACAATACCAAGGGCGGAATAAAACTACAGGAATAAATGAAATGATGACTCGGTCACTGGGCAGTTCTTAAAGTATCTCCTTTTGTTAGGCCTTGCTAGTTGGGTGTTGTGCAATTATGCTTTACGTATTTGTTATCTTGTTCGGTTAGAAAATCAAAGACCCGAGTCACCTCGATGCCTTAAACCAAGGGTTCGAAGTCCTGGAACCGTTAGCAAAGAACATGTAATTAAGGAAATGTTTTCTGTCCTTATTAGCGTTCTGGTCAGTCATTTCTAAGCGATATGTTGCTTCACGAGGCGCTTCGTTCGCGATGTAACCGGGCAACGGCGTCAAAACTAACCAGCAGTATTAGAGCTTCTATACAGGTATGAAAAAGCGAATTGGAAATGATACCCGGGGTTGATGCGCCGTGGGGTTCGAGAAAGTGCTGTAGTTTAGGTAAGGTACCTAAGTTATAGTGTGTAGCAACTCAGACGACTGCCAGATTAGGGGTAATGTGAGGGTAAGTAAAAGGTGTGATTGGTTAAAAAATGGGTGTGGCTAGGAGGGTACAACGAGACGAACGAAAAAAAAAAAAAAAAAAAACTCGCATCTGGTCTAAGCTTGCTGAGATAACTTAAACGGTCCTTTAGGTTTATTTTCTTATCCTTCATTCTCGTTGTCATTTCTCAAAATCGCATAAGTGATAAATGTGACTATATGTATCTCTTAGCCAAGACTTACATGAGGGTATTTCCAGACTTGGTTCATAGGTATCTTAAGATATTGATTGGCTCGGGCTTTGATAAACCCCATGGGGTCCTCGGAGGCTATAATGAACTGAGCCCACCCTACTCCGGTTAATATGGACCTTGACATATTCGGAAATATTGGGGAAGGTATACTCAACCAATTCCGGCAGTTAGAAGTAGTGTTAAACTACTCCCTGGTTTTTAGCATCCATTTGCCCCTTCTATAGAGTGGTAGCCTCATGGGGTCATCATCTTATATAGGTAGTTCCTACCGTGTTATTATTATTCGGGTTACTAGGATAGCTGACTGGGTGGTCTTGCTCAGAGAAAGAATAAAAGTACTGAGTCTGCCGCAACCCTCCCGCCTCGTGGTCTTCCCCCACGGCTACTACCTACTCTCATTCATACGACGATCACCGGATATTTGACCTAAATTCCAGTGAACAAGATGCAGTTAACCTCGCTCGCCGCGTTGGCATTAGCCGCGCCAGCAAGCGCGCTGATTCGATTCTCATGCTCTCAGCTTGTGGTTGACCGTATCGACCCGTTAGTGAATCCGGGCATGGCACCCTCGCCGCATCTACACCAGATCATCGGCGGAGTAAGTTATGGCTAAGCGTACTAAAGAAGTAGACATATAGCTAATCGACGTAGAATTCGCTTAATGTGACTATGGATCCTACTAAAGATATGCCTGGCGAGTCCACCTGCACAACCTGCCAGTTCACCGAAGATACTTCCAATTACTGGACCGCTGTTCTCTTCTTCAGGGCCCGTAACGGCACCTTTAAGCGTGTACCTATCCGACCTAACGTCGGTTTTGACGGCGCCGAGGGTGGTATGACCGTCTACTACATGCAGAACGGCTTGGCCGACTACCAGCAGCGGTCCAAGGTCACAGCTTTCAAGCCTGTAAGGCTCTCATTATCTGCGAATATTGAGTATTTAACATGTAGAGCTGATAGGTAATCTAGGGATTTCGTATGCTTGTCGGCGATGCGATGGCTCGAACTGCCGAAGACGCCGACAAATACAAGCAGGTTACCTACACCTGTCTGCAAGACATGGACACCCGTTTCCCCGAGACTAAGAACCTCCCCAACAAGATATGCCCGGCAGGCATCATGGCAAATATTCGGTTTCCAACGTGAGTCGGCTACGCGTATGTATACCGAAGTTGTTGGGTAGTCGTCTAACGTATAGTAGTTGCTGGGATGGAAAGAACCTTGACACCGTGGACCACATGAGCCACATGGCATACCCAGCCAGCGGTACTTTCGACTCGCAAGGACCGTGCCCGGAGAGTCACCCCGTTCCTGTTCCCCAACTCATGTACGAAACTATCTGGGATACTCGCCAGTAAGTTTGTCTTCCTATGGCCTGGTGATGTTCCGTCTAGTTAATTACAAATTGTTGTAAAGATTTAACGACCCTAATGAGTGGCCTGAGGACGGATCCCAGCCCTTTGTCTGGAGCATGGGTGACCAGTAAGTTTCCCGCATCCCAAGCAATGCTCAGGGGATCTTCTGACGCAAGATTTCAGCACTGGATATGGTAGTCACGGCGACTATCTCTTCGGCTGGAAGGGTGATGCTCTCCAAAGAACCATGGACACACCCTGCTATGTCACTTGCCCTACATTAACCACGCAGTCAATTGCCAACCAGAACAAGTGCAAGATTGACAGGACCGTTGAGGAGGATATCGATTCTTGTAAGTTATTAAAGCGGCTTGGAATGGTAAATAATCTAGAATGCTAACAACACTAGGGTTGCCCGAAATCCCTGGAAGTCCTCAGATATCGAAGAAATATTAGAAGCGAGGCGTAATAGAATATCTCGAATAACTAGGGCGCGTGTATTTTTCAGTTCGAAACTGCTGGAATATATAAGGTTAATAAATTAGGTGGCTAATAATACGCCTTACACCTCTGGTTTATATATAATAAATATACTTATTTAATTTTTTTAATAAATAATATAATAATATAAAATATATATATTTTATAACTTATATTTAATTTTAATAAATTATAAGTTTAAAATTTATAATTTAAATTATATAAATAATTATTTTATTATTTAATAAATTATTTATTTTATTTATTTAAAACATATTTATTTTAAATTATTATAATTTTCATTACGTAATTAAATAAAAAACGGTTTTATCCTTTTAAAAATTTCTTTTTTTTAATATTTAAAAAAATGGATTATTAAAAATAATAACGTTAAAATTATAATAATAGAAAATTTTTAATTTTTTTATATAACTTTTTTATTATTAATTTTAATAAAATTATATATATAAAATTATTTTTAAATTAAAACGTTTAATTAATTAATAATAATATTAAAATTTATTTTATTTTAATAAATATATATTATAATTATATTAAAATTTTTAATAATATTAAAATTAATAATATAAAATTATAAAAATATAAAATAAAATTAATATTATTTTAATAATAAATTTTAATTATTATTTATTAATAAAATAAATAATATAATACGATATAATTTTAAAAAAAAGTTATTATAAAAATTATTATTTTTTAAATATTTAAATAAATAAAATTTCTTATATTTTATTAAAAAATTTAAATAATTATAAAAAAAAAACTTTTTAAAAAATAATTATTTTAAAAATATAAATTATATATTTAATTTTATATTTATTAAATTATATTTATTAAATTTAAATAAAATATTTTTTATATTTATATTATTAAATTTAAATATTAATTATTTTAATTTTAAAATTATTACTTTATTTAATTTATTAAAAAAATTTAAAATTATATTAAAAATAATTATTTTTAAAATATTAAATAAAAAATATATTAATTATTTTAAAATCTTAATTTTATTTATAAATTTTTTAAATTATTATTTAAAAAATTACTTTATAATAAAATAAATTTATAAAATAAAATTTATAAAATTTATTATATTATTAAAAATTAATTTTTTATTTATTAATAATAATTATAAAAATAAAAAAAAATAATTTAATTTTAAATAATATTATTTAATTAAATTTAATAAATAAATAGTTAACGTTTAAAAAAAAATATTAAATTATTTAATAATTTAAAATTATAAAAAAATATTTTTTAAAAAAATAAATAAAATAACTTTAATAAAAAATTAAATTTTTACGTTAATTAAATTATGTAAAAAAATAAAAATTTAATAAAAAAAATAAAATAAAATTTATAATTATATTAAATATTATTTAAAAAAAAATTTTAAAAATATAATAATAAATAAATTAATAATAATTAAAATTTAAAAAATTTTAAAAATAAAATATAAATTATAAAATAATATTATATTTTAAAATTTAATATTTAAATAAAATATTATTTTATTAAATATTAAAAATTTTATAATTATATTATTATTAAAATTATATTAATTTTAATTTAATTTTAAAAAATTAAATAAAATTTATATAATTAATAAATTATATTTAATTAATAAATTTTTTAATATTTTAAATTTTAAATATAATATATTTTTTATTATTTTTTTTTAAAATTATAATATTATTTTAATATAAAATAATAATTAAATTATTAAAGTTATAATTATTATAAATAATATTATTAAATTAATATAATAAAAAAATAAATATTAAATATATTTTTATTAATTATTTTAATAAATTTAATAATAAACATAAAAATAACTTTATTTATATTTATTATATAAATTTAAAACGTTAAATAATCCGTCGGAGACATTTTTTACGCTGGAACTCTTGGAAATTATTATGCGAAATTGATAAGGAAATGATAAGTAATTAATAAGTAATTTATTAATAAATGATAAGAAAATTGATAAGAGATTTGATGTTTCCGACGGATTTTCACGTGCGAGCCTGCGAGCATGTGAAAACGCTTGCGCGAGCTTGCGAGTGCATGCGTTTTCTTAAATTTTAAATTATAATTTAATAAAATATTTTTAAAATTAACGCGGTAAATTTAAAAATAAATTTAAAAATTTAAAATTAATAAAAATAATAATATAATTATTATATTATTTTATTAAAATAATATTAATATAATAATAATATTTATTATTATTATTATATTTATAATATTTAAAAGATTATTAAATAAATTATTAATTAATTTTTTAAAATTAAATATTTTATTAAAAATTTTTTAAAATTATTTACTTAAAAAATTATAATAAAATATATTTATAATAAAAATATAAAATAATTTAATTTAAAAATTATAAATATAAAATATATTATTAAAATTTATTAATTTTATTATTACTTTAATATTAAATTTTATTTTTATAAATTTATTAATAAATAATATTTTAATAATAATAAAATTTATAATAATATTTAAATTTAAAATTAATAAATTAATTATTAAATTAAAAAAAATTATAATAATTAATAATAATTATAATTAAATAAATTATTATAATAAAATTTTATTTATAAATTTATATTTATATAAAAACTTTTATATTTATAATATTAATAAAAAAATTATTATATTTAAATTATAAAATATTATTATTTTTTAAATTATTATTAATAAATAATTTAAAGAAGTTAAAATTATTAACGTAATATATTATTTTAATTTTATTTATAATTTTATTTTAGTTTTATAATTTATTTAAAAAAATATTAAACTTTTATTTTAATAAAATTTAATTTATAACGTAAAAAATAAAAAAGTATTTTTAATAATAATTAAAATAAATGGTTTATATATAATTAATTAAAAAGATAATAATTTTAATATAATAAATTTTAATATAACGTTTTATTTTTATTTTATTTTTAATTTAATTTTAAAAGTATAATATAAAAGATTAAATTATTTAAATAATTAAAATTTTAAAAACTTAATAAATATATTTATAAATATTAAACCTTTAAAAAAATATTATTTTTATAAAATTTATATAAAAGGTAAAATAAATAAAAAATCTTATATAAATATATTAAAATGTAATATTTATAAATTAAAATTATTATATTTAAATAAAATAAATATATTTATAAATATTAAAAATATTAATAATAATAAAAGTTAATTAATTATTATATGTAATTATTTATATATAATATAAGTTATATTATTAAAAAATTTTAAAAATTAATTATTAATATTTAAAAAAATTTTAAAATAATAAAAAAAATTTAAATATTATTATTATATTATTATTTTAAATATTTTAAATATATATATAAATAATAAATTTATTAATTAACTTTTATATTATTATATAATTAATTAATATATTATATAACGTGTATGCGAATATTTTTATATTATTAATGTGTTATTATAATTAATAAAGTTAATAAATTACGTGTATATAAGTTAATTAAAATAATGTAATGTTTTATACGTAAATTAATTACGTGTGATTACGTGATTAATTTTATGTAATAATATTTTAATATTAATAATTTTTTTCTTTTCTTCTTTTTTTTTATATGACGTAATTATATATAATTTAATTTATTTAATATTAATAATTTTTCTTTTTTATTATTATAATAAATAATTATTATTTAAATAATTATTATAATTATTATTTTAGTTTTTTTTATTTTTATTATTGTTATAACTTTTATTATAATTATTTAAGTAGTTATTATAAATGAACGGTTTATTATTATTATTATTATTTTTTTAATAGTTTTTTTTTTTTTTTTTTAAGTTTAAATATTTATTATTATTATATTTTATACGAGGTAATGTTATATTTACGTTATAAGCGTACGCCGTATACTTTAATAATATAAATGGGATAAATAAGTAATTTAAAAAAGTAATGTTATATAAAGGTTATTTATACGGTGTGTTATTATTTAAAAGCGGTTTATAAATTATATTATATAAAAACGGTTCGTAAATTATATTATATATAAGTAATTTATAAGTTGTAAAAAGTAACTTATAAGTTATTAAAAGCGATTTATAAGTTATATTATATAAAAGCGGTTTATATAAAAGTTATTAAAAAGTAAGTAAAAAAGTAATTACTTACTTTTAAAGTATAATAAATGGTTAAAAAGTTGTGAAAAGTTTTATATTAAAGTTTATAAAAGGATGATTTATAATATTTTAAGGTATAATAAACGGTTAAAGGTTTATAAAAAGCTTTATATTAAAGTTTACGAAAAAAAGGTTAACGGTTAAAACTTTAATAATTTATTATACGTTTAAAATTTTAACCGGTTTTATGTAATGCTTTTAATTAAAGTAATGTTTAAACCGTTTTTTTAAATTAAAGTTTTTAAAATATATAAAATAATAATAACTTATTATTTAAAGTTAATTTAAGTAATAAGTATTTTATTATTAAAAGTGTATAATAAAACGTAATTTATATAATATAATTATTAAAAAGTTATAAATTTTATAATTATTATTTTTTAATTAAATCTTTAAAATTAATTTAACGTAAAAGTATTTACATATATTATACGTAAATATTAAACTTTATTTATACGTTAACGGTTTTTATAAACGTTTTTATTAATTTTATTATTTTATAATTTTATTAATATTAATTAATATTAATTAATTTTTATATTATTATATAATTAATTAATATATTATATAACGTATATATAAATACTTTCGTATTATTAATGTATTATTATAATTAATAAAGTTAATAAATTACATATATATAAATTAATTAAAATGATATAATATTTTATATATAAATTAATCACGTGTAACCATGTAATTAACCTTACGTAATAATATTTTAATAAAATTTAAATAATATTATTAATAAAAAAATATAATTATTTAAT